CAAAGGTTTTCTAAGGGTTGGAGAAAGAGTGTAAAGACTTAGTAAATATGAGTTGTTAAGTGCTTACTAACCTCTCAGGAATAAAATAAAATACAATAAAAATATCAGCTTTGGACTTTGAGAAACCTTCAAAATATTCAAAGAACAACAGAGTATATGATTTTGCCCCAAATTTTTGAATGCAAAATGCAGCCGGCTATGGCTGAGCCTGCAGACTTGTTCAATCAGAATCATATACTAATCACCCCAATCTCTCTCTCTCTCTCTCTCTCTCTCTCTCTCTCTCTCTCTCTCTAAAATAATATATATCAAAACATATAGAAATGAAAGGGTAACAGATCTGGGTATTGAAGAAACCTTCTTTCCGGGTGTGGGCTAAGCGAGTAGGAAGAAAATGTCCATTAATGGCCGCTTTTGCGATGCTTTTTTTAGTGTTTGGTAAGAATTTGTTGGAATTTTTGAGGAATTTGGGTAAAAAGACAGAGAGCGGAGAAAACGGAGTGGGGCTTGGCGGTAATTTTACGGGGATATAGGGAGACAGTCCGCCACGCTCTAGACGCGTACGCGCGTAGTGCAGCTGTTTTACAGCTACAATCCAGTACAGTACCGAGTATCGTGTACGAAATAATGAAATATTCCGTATTATAATACTCGAAAGTACTACCTTTCCATATTAAAAATATATATTTTTCTCCAAAAGAAGTAATTAAATATTGAAAAAAGAAAGTGAATATTACTCCGTAAAGGTAAAATTATAGGGAAATATATTATTGTTTCACAAGCGAGGGATAAAGGAATTAAAGCAAAAATTTGTGTGAGATCGCCTCACGAGACTCAGTCAGTAGTATAATATTTGTGTAAGACCGTCTTACAGACTGAGTCTTTGATTAATGAGTCAAATATTTGATTAAAGAGTCAGATTTTTAACCTCATAAATCAAAGATCAGATCTCTCTCATGGATTGAGACCCGTCACACAAATTTTTGTCATAGTTAAATATCTTCCGAGTGGCCTTCTTGACACCTAAAAAAAAAGGTCAATTTAAAATTCAAAAATCATTGTTTTTAATTCTTCAATGTTTAGTTATGTTTTGAATCTACATCAAAAAAGTTATGTTTTGAATCTCTCTCTCACTCTTGGCTCTCTTATCTCCTTTTTTTCTTCATTTCATTTTGTCTTCAAATTCAAGTATTTTAAGTATTTATTAGGTTTTTTACTCTGATTTGTTGTTTCTTCTCTTCTTTTTAAGTACTCCGTATTAGAGTAATCATATTTATTATTAAAATAATTAATATTGTAAAAAAATAACTTTTAAATATATTTCTACTCATTTTTCATAAAAAATCAACGTAACTGAACATAAAATACATATTCCTAAACTTCAACAAAATATCATAAAATAACAATATTTTCGGAAGATAAGTTATTTTCTATAACTTACTGTTCATGTTATAAAATAGAGTGGGGGAGAAAAAATCCAACTTTACTCTAATAACAACTCATCACTTCCTATGTGATAAGTTTTAATTGGTTGAGATTTTATTTTTTTAAAGAAAACAAATTATTAAAACTTGCCACATAGGAAGTGGCAAGTTTGTGAATTGCATATGTAGGAGTAAATAGATTTTCATTATTATTATTATTATTATTATTATTATTATTATCATTATTATTATTATTATTACTACTACGTATTATTTAGTGATGATAAAAATCCATAGTCACTATTCGAGTGTGTACATTAGTAAACTCTGCATTTTGACTATAATCGATAAATGACCTCTTTCATGATTGATTAGCTCAAATAAAAAATGTCAATATACCGCCCTTGTTAATACTCTAGTAGTCAAATTTGTAACTTTGTGGTTACCAAGGTAACAGTCAATAATGAAATACAAAAAAAGTTTATATAGAGAATGGTATAAGGCTTGGCTGAGTATAAGCGGTCTATTGATTTTATTAGTTTGAGTTGGTTAATTATAGATAATAATTTAGACTGATTTATCTTATTATTATTATTATTTGCCAATTAGGGTTGCAATGCGGGTTTCACTTAAAATATACTTCTAGTACCGATTGGAATTTTTTATTTTTTTTAAATCAAATTATTAAAGTTGAATTTGCACTATCCCAAAAATACTAAGTAAAGCCAAACGCGTATTTTTCCTTTTTTAAACAAAGCGTTTGAGCTTTGAAGTTTTGTGTACAATTTTCCTTTGGGTGTTGTTGGCGTTTTTGGTAAATAGCAAAAAAAAAAAAAAAAGGTTGGCTTGCCAATTTTGATAGCATGTTGTTATGGAATGAAAATGAGTGCGCTATTGCAACGCCAGTCAATTTCCAGCTAATATTTCAACTCCCAATATTTTAAAATACTAAAACTTTCTATGATATTTTAAGATGCCATATTGTGTGATTTGATAGAATTATTTATATATATCATTTTGTCGAAAATATTAAATAAGAAAAGTGTCTTTCAAAAAAAAAAAAAAAAGTACAATGTAATTTTACCAAACATAAATGGCATTGTATGATATTTACGTTTTATTACCCACCTTATCCGTATATTATAATTTTTACGTTTTTTTTTTTATATATAAATATCTTTTGGGTTTGTACATTTTACCATTGTACACATGCATACTTATCGATTGAGAAAATTATTTGTTTGATTTCATAATCATTAACTTTTGGTTGTTTTAATATTTGATTGTTGAGGGCTATATATAGCTTACTTTCCAGTAGGCCACCAATCTTATAACTGTTATAAATCAATTAGTGATAAGTAAGTGGACATTTATCATTTAAGCATATGTCTCCATGGTAAGTTACAATGTCACGTCTCGAATTGAACAGGGGTTGAACTCGATCGACGGCCAACAATCATCTGTCCCTTTGTAAATTGTTGCAATTTTAGTCCTTTAATTTGTGTAATACACATATCAAACTCCATTAGAGTTTGTGTAAAAAAAATCACACATTATTATTTCCTGCTCGCTCATCATTGTTAGGACAAATTTTGCCTTTGTCGTTCTTTTTTTTTTTTTTTTAAATTATAAAATCTCACAATTACTAATTGATGGTGTGCACTATGTCAACTCTGATATCATATGTAATAACTCACAAATTACACATAAGATATAAGCTATATACTAGAAAGAGCATATGTGATATGCTCGATAGTAATTTTTCCATGTTGTGATAGCGAAAACAATTAAATCTAAATACTTAAGGGAGGGAGAAAATTTTTATTGCTTATTCAAGCTATAATTTTAGTTAAGACTTAAAATGATGGAATTAAGTACAAAAGTAACTTCTTACGTATAAATTAATTAATTTATTGGCATAATTGCTTTTTTGTCAAACTTAGGGCAGAGTATTGTGTATTGAATTCATGTTACTTGTTTTTATCACTGAATAATGTAACACTTCTTCTTCTTTTTTTTTTAATCTCATAGACTCATAGTATTTATATTTTTACGTGTTAGTATTTGATTGATTTTGTATTTGATTTATAGTACACCGTAGGGATGGCAATGGGTCGGGTGTGGGCTACATCCATCACCCGACCCATCTTATATTTTCTCCACCCACCCCCACCTCCAACCCGCATCGGGTGGACTTTTTCAGAACCCACCCCCACCCCCACCGAGTGCGGGTGCCCACTACGGGTACCCACCACTTATCATCTTATTATGTTTTTCAAAAAATAATATTTAAATTATTTACACATAATAAAAAATAAAATCCATTAGTGATACTAAAACATAAATAATGGAAATATTTAAATATAATAACTAAATTGTTAATTTTTAAAAATAAACTTAGTAGTTTTGATATAAAAAATAGTAAAAAGATACACGGAGTTATATAAACTATTATAAATAACTACATACTAGTATTTATTTTACTATTATATATATATACACACACACATGGTGGGTCGGGTGGGGTTCTATGCGGGTCTTGTACATAGAACCCGAATCCAACCCGACCCACCGCGGGTTTTCTTTTTTAAGACCCACCCCCGACCCACCACCCACCATCACCCAAAAAAACCCGATCCATGCGGGGTGGATTCGGGTGGATATCCATGGGTCGGATTGAAATTGCCATCCCTATACACACGTGAGTGCAATATTATATATCTTGGTGCATTATAATTATCTTTAATTACACTATCAAACACCTTCAAATGCATTGTCGTAATTACATAAATTTTGTCATGTTTCTTTCTTGATTTTTACCCCTTGATGGCTTGATTATCTTAAATCAACAAATGAAGTCACATTCTCATAGACTACTAGTTATCATATGATTTTGATTCTATATGTATAAAAGGTGGAAAATCATTTTTTATAGGACATTATTTGGGTTGTTCTTTTGTGAACCTACTCTATAAGTGGATTGTTTGTTTTTAACTCGTTGCGATGTTGGCCAATTTTCCAAGTAATCAATAAATACGGAAAAAAATAATTGGTATCACATTAATAAACAAATAGTGATTAGTGATTACATACTTTAATAAATGTGACACAAATAACAAGTTGATATATTTACACCACCTATAAAGTTAACACATCTATCAAAGGGTGGTATAAATAGTAATTAGAGTGATCTAAATATAATTTTTCCTCATAAAAATCTAATTGTAATTTCTAACAAAATTAGCATTTTTGTTGGACAATCAACCTAAAAAAAAAACATAAACAAAAACATTGGTTAGCCAAAAAAAATTGTGCATAAAATTAGAAAAATATTTAGTCTACTCTCATTTTATACTTCCAATTTATATTCCTCTCACATGTTGTATTGGGAGGTGAAGGATAGTAGGATAGTAGAGGGGCATTTTTGTCTTTTCCATACCTTGGTAGTTATAACCGTCACCATTATAAGAATGGCCGGTTCTTCTTGAACAGTTTGTATCTCTTCTTTTTCACTCAAAACAGAATAATGGCTCACTGCTTCTCTCTTCAACTATTCCGTTAATCTACTTAGTTGACATGGTATCAGAGCGGTTCCAACCTATCTCCTATGTCGCCGTCGTCACTGGTGGAGCAGATCAGGGAGAGCGCACCACTCCGCAGCCAACTCAGTCGCCGATCCATGCGACTTCGTCGACGATTCCGCAGGGAAATCCTATTCCACAAGCACAAAGGAGCTATGGTGTTGAAGATGTGAGAATCCGTATCTGTTCAGCACAAGTGATAGCACGAACCTCATCCTTGTTAGTCCGCCACTAGCTGGCAGCTCCAATTACGGCTCATGGTGTACTTCCATGAGAATTGCCTTAGAGGTGAAAAATAAATGGTGGATTATAGACAGTAGCATTGCAGCGCCTAACAGTGAGGATAATCGATATGGACTTTGGAGACGATGTAACCTAATGCTATGCTCATGGATCTTCCGATCTGTGCATCCTTCCATTGCACAGAGTGTTATGCACCTTGAAAACGCCAGGGATGTTTGGAACGATTTGAAGAGACGCTTTGCACAGTGTGATGCGCAGCGAATATCAGCACTGCAAAATGACATCTATAGCTTGAAGCAGGGATCTCAGTCCGTTAGCGATTACTATACGAAGTGTCGGATCATGTGGGAGGAGATGAATACTTTGAGGCCACTCCCGCTATGCAAGTGCGGTCTAGTTGACGAGATCAGGAAGGAGCGTGAGGTTGATCAGGTGATTCGCTTCCTTCAAGGTTTAAATGATGATTTCAATACTTTAAAATCTAATGTTCTTATGTTGGATCCGTTACCGGAAGTATACAAAATATATGTTATGGCTGAGAAATTGGAGAGGCGGATTAGCTTGATGAAATTAAACATAAATAATTTTGAGATCAGCCATGCTAATTCCATCCAAGCTACTGAGATGGTTCAGAACTCCAGTGATGATTTGGTTGCTGCAATTAACACTTTCAATGGTAAGAAATACACAAACAATGGAGGAAGCAAACCTAAATGCAGTTTTTGCGGTATGATTGGACACACCGTCGACAAGTGCTACAAGAAACACGGCTACCCCCGGGGTGGGTGCCGGGCTTCAAATCCAAAGTCAAGCAGCAAGGAGCAGCTTCTGTTATGAGCAATGTGACAGACTTGGGAGTTACAAGTGATCGGTTTCAAAAACTCATGGCAGCCATCCAGTGTCAGATGAAACAATCTTCCAGTTCTGGCACAGCAGCATCCACTTCCCTAATTCCCAAGTTCGATGAGAAAACCAGAGAAGGCAAGTCATCTATTCCCCATGTTAATTCTCTATCTCTGTGTAATTCAACATGGATTGTAGATTCTGGAGCAACTCATCATATTGCATGTTCCCTTGAGACATTTGATGAATATTATGTGATTGAAAGAGATGAAGTTAGTCTGTCAACTGGGGAACGAGTTGCCATCAAACACAAAGGAAACATAAGACTTGAAAACAATCTTTGGCTAAAAGATGTTATGCACATACCATCGTTCCATTTTAATATACTGTCTGTGAGTAAACTCCTGCAAGATACTTCATATAATCTGGTTTTTTTCATCTGGACAGTGCTTGATTCAGGAACCTCTTGGGATGACGATTGGTTTAGCTAAACAAGAAAAAGGGTTGTACCTCATGATGAAGCCACCTCTGAATTCTGTTCATGATCACAGCAAATTTGTTATGCAATGTAATAAAGTTGATGTTTGGCATCAACGTTTAGGACACTTTCCTATAAATAAATTGCATTTGCTCAAAGATATACCGAAGTTGCCTCTTACAAACAATGCTTGTGATGTTTGTCACTTAGCCAAACATAAACGCTCCCCTTTTCCCATAAGTAGTTCATCCACAACTGCTTGCTTTGATATGATACACGTAGACATATGGGGTCCTTTCTCAGTGAGTTCTATGGGAGGTGAGCGTTATTTTCTGACTTTAGTGGATGATTTTTCAAGGTTCACCTGGCTGCGTTTGATGAAAAGAAAGTCTGAAGCCAAAGAATTAATAAAACAGTTCCACAGTTTTGTTTTCACTCAATTTGGAGCCTTGATCAAAGTTTTGCGATATGTAGACACTTTTCTATGGACCCACACGATAAAAATAACCAGTTCTTGTTTATCACCTCAAAAATTATAAGTAAGGAAGTAGAATTTGAGAGTACGTATAATAGAACTCCATGAATTAAGGGGGGTGATGGTTTGAATGATAGATGATATGATGGGGCATCCCATGTTTGTTTGGTCAATACCAAATTGTAGAATGTCTCATCATTATTCATTACTCTACAATGTAATGTTCATACAGAGAAGAATTTCAAACCAAAAACTCCCAACTTCATTAAGATCATCCCCTTTGCGTGTGCTCCGTGATGAATGCTAGCTGTCCCACACTCCCACATTCTTTCCTATAAATGGACTCATCACACATGAAACATTTCATTTATTAATGACTTTTATTTGTTTTTCTACTTGATCAATCAAGACCTTGTAACAAGAATATTTAGTTGTATTTACTTCAATCGTTCATTTCATCATACATTACGGTTCATTGATTCTCGTTTTTTGTTGATAACAGGAGAAATTCACAAGCATTACTTGATAGTGTATATTAAGTAAACTTCACTCCTATATTGCAAACCACAATATAAATGTGGGTAAAATTGTCAAAAACATTGTTATCTTGTGACATAAGTATAAAATTCTTCGTTAGAGGTCTCGAGATAATTTTTTTTTTTTTTGTATATACAAAAATTGATATAAATAGGGTTGTGTAATGAGTAACTTTTGATCAATAATTAAAATAACTAAAAATTAAGATAGTTGTGCATGATCAATAACTTATCGAAAAAAATTAAAATAACACGTTTTTTTTAAAAAAAAAAATTATAGTGAATAATTGACTATTACCTTGCTCTTAAATTCAAGCGTTAATTGCTAACCATTAAAATGGTAGTAACCAATTTAAAAATTAAAAAAATCAAAACAATTTATACTTCATAATCAATAATAGAGTGACTAGTGATGATTGCAATCATTTTATTATGTCTTTTAGACATCCCTTTATTAGCTATGTTCGAAAATCAACAAATTGTGTCGCTCACTTTCTAATTTAAACATTAAGTTTGAAGATTTGGCTCTCTGTTTCTCCTTGTGCTAAGATTTTTTGTTGTTTATTAATACATTTTTTATCATTCTCAAAAAAAAAAACATTTTTTTTTATCCTTATTTCAAAAATAATCGAGTGACAATTATAAAAAATAAAAATCATTAGATATGATTATTGGTGGTCATGGTAACTACCCCAGATGGTGTATACGTATATATATGAGTATATATACTAACAGACAAGATTGAAGTCACATGTAACGTATCGGCCGTTGGGGGCCCTACAAAGCTAAACCTTAAATCACTCAATTAATTATTACATTTATCTCTAATCCACAATCCAAATGTCATCTCTAATCCCAGCCTGACTATGCGCCAAAACCGGCGGTGGAATGTCAGCAATCGCGACCGTTGAATGTGGCCGCCTTCTCACCGCGACACGTGTACACCTTTAACGGCTACACTTCATCTCCCCCCTGTTTCACTCCGTTCGTGCATGCACGTTTGTAAAGTTGGGTAGTGGGCCCGGTGGGGCCCAGCCTCTGTGGGTCCTCTCCCATCATTACCCTTCCTCCTTTTCACACCTATTCTTCTTCACATTTGGCGTTCATGCATTTATGGGTATGATAACACCAAATTACCAAACCCTATGTGCCATTTGGTATCTTTCCCATGTCCCATCTTACAAATAGGGATGACAATGGAACGGAAGCGAGAAGTATACTCTCTGTCTCCGTTTCTATTCTCGTATTTATCTTTGTCTTTGGCGGAGAATTAGAAATACTTTTTATTTTTGTCTTTGCGAGAAATTAAGCGGGTATAGAAATTTTTCATTCCCATCAACTCCTAATCAAAATATTAAATAATTGTAATTTTTAATAATAAAATAAATTTAATTTAACTCTTAATTTCAAATTTTAAAACTATATATATATATATATATATATATATATATATATATATATATATATATATATATATATATAATTATTCGGGAACGGGTACTCTCATTCCCGTCCCATTCCCGACGAGAAATCACATATATTCTCTGTCCCCGTCCCTCTTCTCCAAAAGTTTTCCTCATCCTTGTTTTTGTTGAGGCGAAAATCGGGGATCCCCTTCGGAGGTAGGGCACATTGACTTATAAAGGACAAATCAATTTTGATTAGAACAGAAATTTAGTTCCTAACAAAAATCTTATAGACAAAACATATCATTTCCTTAAAAACTTAAGGAGTAAAAGATTAAAATTACATTACAATAACAAATGGGACGTAATACAAATATCATTTTCCCTGATTAATTTGATCGAATTGAAAAATACTACATTAAATTTTGATCAAAATAATAATTGATATAACATTATAATACAAAATTTATCATAATATTATTATTTCCCTATCAATTTTAATATGTTATCTTCTTCTGGTGATATATTAGATATACGTACTATTTGATTCAAATATTCCATGACCATCCAAAATATTTTAGTACAAAAAACATCATCTTGTCCAAAAACGAATGCATTAAGCAATCACTCAAGATCGAGTCTCATTAACGATAGTGTGGAAGTAATTTTTCAGAGGGGGTTTCTTCTGCGCAGTAAGCAAATGTTTAACCTCCGTGTTTAATTGAGTTACCATAATTTATGTCATCTCATATGTTCTGCCGGGTGAGATGTAGAGACCCTTGGGATTGGAAATTCAACCTTTTGAGAACAACGAATGGACCAAAAGGGTGAAATATAATTCTCACACTAAAAGGTCACGAATTCCGTTCTTACTGACACTATCTTGAGCTCTTTGCACATAATCTTCTTAATTTATCTCTCTTATATACTTTACGTATTATTATATAAGAATAAATTTTCTCAATTTATACTCTTAATAAATATCAATAATTACAAGTTTTCTTGATCATTTAAAATTAAAAAACGTCATATTGAAGAATACATGAAAGTGATATTTGGAAGAAAGCCAAAGATAGATATTGATATACTTGAAGAAAACAAAAAAGTAATAAAATAAACCCTCCAATATCTTAATACCAACGCCATGCATTGTACGTCGTCGTACGTAGTATCATAGATGGTGAATTCTGGCTTGCAAGTTAGTTTTTCACTTTTATTAAGAAATAAAAATAAATCCACAATAGCAGTCAATCATATTTATTTATTTAAGAAAATACTAATGAGTCGGTAACCCCATATGACGAAAAGTGATTATGACAAGACTTCATGAAGATCGACACTTCCTCTTATCCAACATGCCAATTAGCTCTGCTTTGATAATTCAAGTGGATGGTCAATCAATTTTTAGTTTTGTTTCTATGATAGACTAAGGTTTAAATCAATCAGTGATAATAAAAAAAATTTGTGTACAAAAATGTATAAACAACGATGAAAACCTATAATCATTTGAGCAATTCGAAATTTGTATACTTCATTGACTTTGGAGTAGTTTTATGGAGTTTAGGATATAGTATGTCAAAGTCGGAAAACTTAGGTTATCAACAAAGAAGGAGAAGAAAAAGAAGAGACTCATCTATCTTTAACCAAAGGTCAATGGTTTGATCATTGGCTTTGGGTATGGATCGGAGCAACTTTAAACTTCAGGCCAACTATCCTATCCAAAAGAGGTGCTTACAATTCAACGAGGGTATTAGTCACTGTGTTTGACGGTAGAAACTCTGTGTATACCCTAAAAAAACAAAGAAGGAGAAGAAGAAGAAGAATGCCGAAGAAGAAGAGAGAGTTAGGTTATACTTTCTTGTGTGATTTACGAGTTATTACATGTGTGCAATTCGACGTTTACCCAATATTACAGTGGGGGCGATTGACTCTTTGTGTTTCAGTAGGGAAAAAGTAGTTATGGACAGATACTACATTGTACCAATAGTACTAAAAAAAACTGTCATTACTATACGTGTGTGTGTACGTGTGTGCGCGCGCGTAAATCGCTTAAACTAGAACTCTTTTGAATGAGACTGGACACATAAGTAACATATCGA